GACCCTTGTTTGTTTTAAAAAAAACCCCCCCCCCCCCCCCCCCCCCCCCCCAAACCAAAAACAAAACCACAACACAAATGACAAACGTATTTACGGGTTGTACGCTGCCTACCATGATGTCCTGAAAGTTGCCCAGAGAAGATAAATTTTTTCTTACTTCCTAAATTTTTGTGATAAAATGTCTCATAGTGATTACCTGACATTAGATGTTTTGGACAATTACATATTGAAGAATGGAAGATTTTTAGATATGCATATACTGTATGTCTATTTCAGAGTTTTGTTTTAGTCATTAGTTTAGTTGTTAAATCCAAATGTAAGCTTTAATTCAGTGGTAATTAAGTTGCTGCTGATGTGGCTGTTTGACACTGAACTGGTTCTTGTAGTTACCTTGCAAGCACCACTTGACACTGTTCAGCCCTGCACTAAACAAGCTGTCAGCACTGTGCAAAAAAAGTCATATTTGTGTCCGGTGGCTAAAGCGTATCCTTCTTATTTTTCTTGCAGGCACAGGAGAGAGTGGCAAAAGCACATTTATCAAGCAGATGAGAATCATTCATGGATCAGGTTACTCTGATGAAGACAAAAGGGGCTTTACAAAACTGGTGTACCAGAATATATTTACAGCAATGCAGGCCATGATCAGAGCCATGGATACCCTCAAAATCCCATACAAGTATGAACATAACAAGGTGAGATTTTTGTTTATTTCTGTAGCTGAAACTGCTTCTCTTTTTATTTTAGGAAATATACTGAAAGTCTCAAAAAAATTAGATGTTAAAAATTATACTCAAAGCTCAGAAGAAAATGGTAGTTTCCAGTCCTGTCATTAGTTCTCTGCCTTTTTTTCTACTTTGACAACACAAAGGTGCTGCTTTTAACAAGAGATCTGCTCTTAACAAGATGCCTGGGGGTTTGTCACAGGGCAGAGGTTTGATGGCAGGCTGCTGTTTGACTGTGACTTTAGTTACCCCTTGTCTTTTCCTCCCAGGCCATACTCTGGCTAGAGCAGTTAAGCTATTCTTTTGATCTGTAGCAGAACCTTACTGTTTGAGGTTTGCCATTAACATTACAAGTAGAAAAATTCAAATTATTAGAAAAATAGGTAGGCATAGCTGTTTGTGTGGGAACATACTGTGAAATAAAATTTTTGATGCAAGACCTTAAAACAGTCAGATTCTTTTGAGGTTGATGCTGTTAGTGGAATTTAAAAGGACAAGATACATAATGTTTGGAAGATCATCTCTGACTAGCCTGACTTCTTTCCAGTTGTTTTTTTTTAATATATTTACAATTTAAAAGAAAGATAAGTAAAATAATTTAAGGATTCCATGAAGGAGAGTGAAATGCGTAATATTTACTTGAATACATGGTAAGGCACAGGATTACATGGCTGTATCTTCCACTGCTTGTCACAGGCATGGTACAACTTTGTTTGATAACAGTTCCTGAGAACTTGTTCTGATTTTTACTCCTGAGCCCTTATCAGCAGCTTCGTCAGGCAGAGAGTTTAAGATCTCTCACAAGTGAAGGGCTCACCTTTGTTTCAGTCTTGTGAAAGAGTATTTAATGATAATTTAGTAATCCTGGATGAAAATAATTTCTCTGCTTAATTACTCAGAAGTTCTTTTATTCTAATGTATTTTTCAATACGAGAAACTATCAAAGAGCAGGGCCATTTACGATAAAGAAGTAAGCTTCCATTAACTGGGGAAGACAGGATGAAATAAACTTATGTTAAGATGAGAATCTTTTGTGTCTACATATATGAAATTTAATTACTAGAGTTGAACTGCTGTATGTATTTTAAGGCATCTAATTTAGAAGGAGGAAAGATAAAGCTTATTACCAGGTTAAAGAAGCTTTGTTTCTGCCATTTGCATCTGCCAAACTCATTGCAGATGGTCATCACTTCGGTGATATAATGTTGCAATAACCAGAGTCTTGCAGGAGCCTGGGTTTATGCAGTGGGAAGTCAGGAGGATCATGTCTGTCAAAATCCATATTGTTAACCTTCTTTAATGGTGGGTGGGGTTTTTTGTGCACGTGAAAAAGACTGAAAAACTTGTCCTAATTGGTAAAAGAGACTGTTGGACTTCTCAGTCTGACTGCATGCTAGAGCTGTCTAGTTTCCTCTCATCCCTCATGAATCAAAATCAAATGTGTAAGTAGTATTAAGAAGAAAACTGCATTTGCATGTGTATTTCAGCCTTTTGGCTTCATATTTTTGCTGTGCACAAAGCATGCAGCATACTGACCTGAAAAATTAGTTGATTGTACACGTGCAGTCATTTTGTCTTCAAAATTGGTATTGATTGTCACTTTGCCTTAGCATCTGGAAGTCCTAATAGTAAATCAGGAATTTTTTTCCTTGTATTATACTACGGAGTATATGTTCTGTAGTTACTCTGTAAGTTAAGAGTGCTGAGTTTATATCTTGTTTTTATATAGTTGGAGTGAGTCGCTTAGGTTTGTCATAGCTGCATACACATGGCCAGAGCTGTTCACATTCTCTATATAGAAATAACTTTCCTGAAAGTGGGAGTCATATCTTTGTGCTCAGCTCCTTCACACACATTCCCATCAGTTTCTAACAGGCTACATGGGAGTAAAACAGACATGACCATCTTACAGGGTCTCAAGGCATTCCTGTACCAATTCCTTCGGAAATACAGGGGAAACCAAACTTGCTACAGGATAGTGCCAGAATAGATAAGATTGTGGTCTACTATGCGTAACGCTTTGGATACAGGACTACTTCACTTTAAAGCAGTGAAAACCAATCATATCATTAATCTGCTCCTTTTTTTTTAAAGGCTGTTGAAAACAAACTCATTAGCCTAGCAGTCTAGAAAAGACAGGAAGGGCACTTCCTACTAATTTGAATCTCCTATCAGGAAGTCCTATCTCTGGAGAGAATATCTCAAAGTTTGAGTAACAACATATTTTTAGCACAGTAGTTGTTTTGCACAATAGTTTGGAAAGTGGCAGCTCAAGCTGGTATTGATGTGGTTGGACCTAAAGAAAAGTGACCCCTTTTTTGTCAAATTTTTCATGTTCTGAGATAGGCTTTGGTACTACAGTAGAAATGCTTTTCTCTTACTGTACCAATTTTCTTACCTTTAACTGAGAATCATTAAAATTGGAGTGTTTTGAATCTCTGAATGCTGCTGGAATTTGAAGTGCTCTCGTATCAAAAAAGTTACTTAAGTAGGCAGTTGTGATCTTTGTGGTGTACAACATCACAACATTTAAGTTGGATTATTTTAATATAATCAATGTAGCAAGAGGCAAGTTCTAAGTTTAGCAAGTTAGTTCTTGTGGAGTTGTGTTGGCTTCCTAGTCACCAATATAACTAAAGAAGCAGAGATGGAAATGTATTGTCCTATATTATAACAACCTAGGCTGTTTTGAAAGATTTATTATCAGAGTAGTGGAAGTCAATTGAGAAATGTAACTGAGTGTTTAGAATGTAGTATCTCAGAATTGATGGTAGAGCATTATAGCATGAAAGACATTCCTTTTTCACATTCAACTTCAGAATATGAGCTCTCCTGAGGTGTAAGATAATGGTTGAGGGTGATCTCTTCTCTTAGGAATTTGTCTGTCATAGGAAATGGTGGCTTACGGACTGGTGTTTAGTTTCCTTTTTGGTAAATGTTATTGTGCTTCTGTTACTTATTTTTTAACTAGAAGTTGTGAAGTTTTCATATGGCTCTTGAATTTTAGAGTAAGAAGTATTTTATGAAATATGGGAAGGCCTTAGTTTTTTTATAGAAGTGTTCATAAGCAACTCTCAAAATTGCCTGCCTTCGCAAAATTTTATGAGTGTACAATACTAACTCATGTGCAACCACAGATACTCAAATGCACATTTTTTAAAAACTAAAATACAGGTTTATGTTTTTTACAATTTGTCTTTTTAGAAAGCTGAGCTGTGTATCCATGCTTCTGTCATTCCTTTCAATTACTGAAATAAGACGACCATTCATTTTAATATTCTAAATTCTCACATTCTCACTGTTCTTCATAGTGGCTTAGAAGGCTTCCTTTCAGATAGTGTAGTGTCCATTTCTCCTTTTCTATCTTTTTTTTTTTTTTTGTAATATGTCTAATAATGCTGAAGATGGGAAGTATATACATGGGTGGCTTTTTTTTTTCTCTCTTATTGTCAAGAAGCTCTACCAAATCTATTACTATGCTAAACAAATAAATCTATTACTGTACTAGTAAACACCGACTACCACTTTACCCCGTACTATTCCCTTTCAATGTAACTTGAAAAGACAAGTTGCCTCTCTGCTGTAGCAGACAGTATCAGGAAGGTGTCACCCCATGGTGATTAACAGGCAGGAAATCTTGCTTGAATCCCATGCCCGTAATTTCCTGTGAGACTTCTTAAATATCTATAACAAGGTAACTAATGTAAGTAACGGTAATAGAACAGTCTACAAGAAAGTTTTTAAAGAGGCTAAAAACATAAAAGCAAGTTTTATTGTAGACCTAGACATTTGTTGTTAATATTTCTAAGGGTGTTTTCTGCTGAATTTGTTTCTGTATTTATGCCTATTCCCTTTGGGGAATGTTTTGCAGTAAAAATAAGCAGATACGGGAAATGCTTTCAAAGTCCAAAATCTTGCTGGCATTAACTTCAAGTCCATGTTTACCTTGTTAGCTCATTTCTTCTCAGTCAGCCAAATCCACTGGAGCAAAAAATAAAAATAGAGAAGTAGGACAACAGGAGTGGGTATAGAGTAAGATTGCATAAATTTTTATCTTGGGTAGACGGTTTGGGGCGTGTTAAGTGTTCTAGATCTCTCTAGTGAAATTTGATGTTGAACAAACCTAGGTTGGAGGAAAGGGCCTCCTGCAGACACTTCACCTGATACGCAAAGAGCGTGAAGGACTCAATCCAGAGCGGGAGTGTACAAACACTGGGAGGGTTATTGACTGTCTGATGATGCAGAATGTGTGGGATTTCTGGCCTTTGGCGGGGAGTATGTTTTTGGGGTTTGTTGGTTTGGGATTTTTTAAAAGCAAAAATAATGTTCTTGGGACGGTGAAATGAAATGCTTACTGGTTTGGAACAGAGATAATCAAGTGGCTCTTCAAGCAGATGGAGAAACCCAAATGGTGCCATCTGTACAAACAGTTTTCTGCAGCATCTCAAACTGGAGCAGAGGGCTTAAAGCAGGTTAGAAGAAAGAAATTTGTACTAGTAGTGTTAGTTAGTATTTAATACATCATAGTGCTCAGTTAGTATTTAACTACTCTCAAATGTTCTTCTCCAGGCACTCAAAACCAATGAAAAGTTACCCAATAAATAGGAGCCATGCAGAAGTGTTAAATGCTTCTAATACCAGGAGCCTCCAGATGCATTATTTCAGCAAGAAATAGATTGCTGCAGAGCCAGCCGACGTGCAAGAGAATATAGTTAGATTTAAAGTATCATGGTCCTTTAACAACATGTATACAGTTACAGCTTTTTTTTGTCAGGAGCCCTAATGTGAGGTAAAACTCGTCTCCCTGATAGCCATGTTTCCTCCCGTAAGGACATTGATCAGTGAGCAGCTTTAGGGGCTCCAGTAAAGCCATGAACCCTTTCCTCTGAACACTTTGTAGAAGATAGTCCATTGTGAGGACTTTGGCAATCCTAACTAGATCCCAGCCACTCCTCAGCTGTCTTTCTCAT